ACAAGGCATTTTCCCCCACAGGACTGCTGCATACTGGATGTTTTTCCCTTTTCACACCATTCTTTGTAAACCCTAGAAGGGGTTGTTAGTGAAAATCCCAGTAACTGAGCAGATTGTGAAATACTCAGACCAGCCTGTCTGGCACCAACAACCACGCCATGCTCAGAATAGCTTAAATCACCTTTCTTTCCCATTATGACATTCAGTTTGGAGTTCAGGAGATTGTCTTGACCAGGACCACACCCCTAAATGACCCCGTTGTAAGTCGCTTTGGATAAAAGTGTCTGCTAAATAAATAAACATAAACATAAATGCATTGAAGCAACTGCCATGTGACTAGTTGATTGCATTAAGGAGAAGTTGAACAGGTGTTCCTAATAATTCTTTATATAAGTATGTGAAGTAATTATGCTTTTACTTTGGTAGATGTTTGCAGTATTCAGTAATTTAACTGAAGTCTACATCGTTTTGATGCTAAAAGAATAAACAGATGCTTAAAGAAAAAGAAGTGCCCTGACAAAAGAGACCGGCACCACTCTCTGATTGGGTGTTGTACATCCAGGATGAGCTGGCCTCTTCCTTCCACGCTGTAAGCTTCTTGGTATTTCACCTCTCATTCAGGCTCGGCGGTCCCACACACGTCAGCTCCTCAGTGCGCTGAGACAGACGTGGCGACAGAGAGGCTGTTTGAAGTGAGAGCTCAAGTCCCGGCATTTCCAGAGAAGGAAAACTATCTGACGAGCTGGATTACCTCATAATGAGTTCTCCAGGGAGCTGAGGACGAGGTTCAGTTCAGTGCTTTTAAAACGGTTTGAATCTGTGTCTTCACAAACTTTCCTACTCTCTTGTTTTTGGTGAAACAAGCATTTTCCTCTCTGTTGTTACATCATAATCTACATCCACTGCTGCACACAACCTTCTTATGATGGAAAATTATTCTGTGAATGGATGACACACCACTCATATTAGTGAAAATTACTGGACATTTTTTTCCTTTTTTTAACTACCAGGAACCGAATTTCTGAAAACCTCAAGAAGTTTGAACTATAAAGAATCACAGACCCTTAAAAACCTATTTACTCAAACAGATCAGCCTAAGTTGAGACTTGCCGACATATTGTACCAACCAGAGAAAGATTAGGCTGAAATTAAACTTTAACCATCTTTCCAGTTGTTGCATAGCAACAGCAGCTTGAGGATTAGCTCCACTGGTAGTTCCATTATTTATCGTCACATTTTTTCTGTTAAACTGTTTCTGACTGCTGAACAAACCAAGCTAAAAGTGGAGATTTTGCAGTGAAATACCACACCCCCATATCGATAACAGCTGACGTTGCTGATGCGTTCTGCAGTGTGCCGCTGCAAACCAACAACCCGCGACACGTTAGATTAAATATGCTCCGTAATCCCAACACCAGGCTGCTGTAACCAGTTCTGTCCAGGTGGATTTTGTGTTTAGTTGTGTGCATTTTGCACATGTTTATTTGCTAAGAGGTAAAAGACAGGTAAATAATAACAAAACACCTCATGAAGGACAGGACAGATTTAAAGGAAACTCTTGGAAAGTAATCACTGATAGTTTATTTAACTTTTGGAGTGAAATCTATTCAAGATGATCAACACAACAAACTTGATTTTAGCAAATGCAGAAATGTTGAAAATCCAGTCAATTAGAAAATGATTGTGTTGGAATCTGATGTTGCTGTACCTGAGAGTCATTAACAAAACAAACTTGAGTGCTAGCAGAATTCGACAACTCCGTATTTTCAGAAAATGTCGATGATTTAAAACTGATGGTGGGTGATACGCATTTGTTTAAGAAGTGGAGGGCCCCCATTTCTGCTTCTGGCTGCTAACAAGACGGCACCTGTGCATGGCTCTGCTGCAGTAACACGCCAACGCTCCAAAGTTTTCATTATTAAAAAAAAATTGTGCTTGGGAAGCACATTGTGATGTTCCACTTCATCTTAAATGTATTTGCATAATGCCTGTAAGTGAGTCACTTGGTAGGTAATGGTGTAAAACAACAAAGTTTATGAATGGCCAGTTTTGTAACCATTTGTTACAAATCAGTAAATGCATTTTGTCCTCACAGGCTTCCGTAGAAGCAAACATGGTGTCTAATCTGGCGTCACCCACAGACTTAGACCCGCTCCCATGTATTTTAGACCCAATATTTATGGTTAAATGTTACAAAGCCACTAATACTTTTTTTAACAACTGGGCATCATTTCATTAATTTTCAACATTTTGATGGATATTTCTAGAGATTAACGGTTAAAAACTACATACTGTCTCTTTAAGAAGATAAAAAGAAAGGTAATTTTACACAGCACCTTACGAGATAGAAATTACAAGGTGCTTCACAAGCACAATAAAAATAAATATGACTAAAAAGAACATAAAAAAATATAAATCAAATTGCTGAACAATATGTTGTAACCTGTTGCTACATGTTTTTGTAATAAACACGCTGAAACTGCAGCTACCTCAATAAGAAAGACAACTTTTGCTACAGAAATGTTCAAAAATCTGCAAAATCCAATAACGAGATCTTCTGGAAATGTTCAACTAAAAATTTTGTGTTAATTGACAATTGTGTAAATTATGTGTAAGCTTAAAGTTATTGGTGAACGTTTCTACATGTGTTAATAGGGATGGATGGGTCAGGCGTCATCATTTTTATGTATGAGTGTGCATAGGCATGTATGTGAGAATCTATGTATCTGTGTATGTATGGGAATGTATGTGTGCAGATGTGTGTGTGTGTGTATATACATGAGTATAAGTGAATGTACGTTTGGAAGTATGAATGTGTGTTTGTATGCTTGTATGTGTAAGTATGATTCTATGTACAGATACAGATGTGTATATATGGGTATTTATGGGTCATTTACAGATAAGCAAACATCTATTTGCACCAACATGGACTCATGCTGTCTGAGCTGGGATAACTGCACTTTTAATCTGAACAGAAAGGGGTGGGATCTAATAAGATGCTGCTTCATCCTACTTCCTGTTTGAGCTTTGTATAATTTACACGGAATACAGTTTCCTGTTTGTGAAAGCACACATGTTTGAATGAACTTAAACTTATGTAGTTTTTATTCCACATATTGAGGAAAGACTGAAGAAAACAGGTGATCTTGTGCGGGTAAGTGTTACCAACACACCATGATGGGTTATGTGAGACAATCAGAAAATTTGGTGTCAACAAAATTAATAACTAAGATTACAGCTCATTCATTTTCTCCCTTAGCAAACCCATCTGCCATTTATTCTCAAACACCCTAACCTTTGTTTTTCTCCAATTTTTAAAATACATTGATATTTTTATTTTCTGACCAAAACAACTTGGCACGCTTTAGGGATGTGCTTGAGACACACACACACACACACACACACACACACACACACACACACACACACACACACACACACACACACACACACACACACACACACACACACACACACACACACACACACACACACACACACACACACACACACACACACACACACACACACACACACACACACACACTAATATGACTTGAGGCGACTGTTTTTTGTAAATATCAATTATTCTAAGCTTAATTTTTAATTTAGAGACAGAAAGTGATGCAATTAGATATTTTTTGCTGCTTTCCTAGAAAAGGGGCAACACCTGCTTCAAGTTCAAAGATCTCTGACTCAAAGTTCTCAGAGCGGATGTGTTCACCGCCTCTGTCAGAGACGTACGCTGGAAGACGTCTGATTGTAACCGCTGGATCCTGACAGCCACAGTAGAGAAATGAGCATAAAGGTGATGGTTCTCACAAACTGACTGTCAACAGAATGTGTGGAGGCTCACAGAAAAACAGTTTACCGATGAACCGTTTGAATTTGTACAGGTATGTTAGGATTTCTGAGGAAGATGCTGCAACGATGCAAGAAAATGTTTCTGGTGGGTTACAGCACCACAATGCCGAGATGATGCCCTGGGCTTCCCCTCAGACAGTGGCTGTGTTTGTAAAAGAGACAGCAGGTATGCGTTCAGTTCCAGGCTGGTGGAGAGGTGTGAGTGTGGGTGGGTAAACCTAACACAATATTCCTCATTTTAGTCAAAAGACGCATTAAAAACAGCATTCCTACCCAGATACTGCTGCCTTATCTCCCTTTGCCTTCTACCTGACGTGACGCAGGTAAACTGTCAACCTGACCACTGTCTCCCGCGTTTCCTCCTTCCCACTCACTTACTTCCCCTTTCAGTACTCCATCTGTCATTAACCACTTCTGTATTGTGGTGTGTCTGCTGCGGCTATCTTATATGGTTTCCATGGTGACAGGGAGCGGACAACCGGTTGATGAGAACTGAAGCTGGGGTCACGTTTTTTCCTGGAACTGAGAGTGTCCTGGCTGTTTGCACTACAAACCAAACCCAGTTGTGGTGTCTGCAGTCTAGACTTTTTGTGGTGAAAAACAGGAAACCAGATTGCAAAGACAAGATAAACAAACTGCTGACTGTTTGTGGATGACTGGAACAAGTAAGGCTGATTGATTGGCTGTAAGGATAAGGATGCAGCATGGGCGGTTTGTTCACTGGGGTGATGTCCTGCTCAAGAAGAAAGATAAACTACTTTTTATCCTATCTAGTCCCTCAGCACACAACTGTGACCATTCGGAGACATTTGTCCCTCAACTACATCATCGCCCAATCAGCATAAGAGCCTGCTCAGACAAGTACCATGAGTACAAAGATAAGTTTCAACTTTCTTACCGTGAAGAACTCTAAATAAACTCTTTTGGTTTTGAATCATCGATTGCACTTTTCTTTAGGAGCGATAACTTATTAACTCACCCAATTCTACGGCATTTGAGATAATCCAGTGGCACCCATCCAGTAGGTGATACTGTTATACGTCTCGTTCTGCTGACTTTATGTGGTTTATGCAGATAAATATCACAACTCCAACCAGAAAAAAAAAAACAACCAGCATCGCCACTGGGATACTAACCTCTCGTAAACACGTGTAGATGGGACACACCAGAACCCTGAAGGGCTCACCGGAGCTGCTCCTCATGGTGCCAAACACCTCACACAGGAAGGTGATGTAACCCAACCACTGCTCCACATCTGCCTGCTGCAGGTCCTCGCGGCGGGAAAAATCCCTCTGATCAGGTGAAGAGAGAAAGGAAAAGGTTCTTCATTTGGGGAAAAACACAGAACATGTCCTGTGTGACCAGCTACAAACCCACAATGGTCTCTGAAATTACTCAAAAATGAGTAATGTCTTCTTGCATAACAGCAAGGGGGGGCACCCTAGACAGATCACCAGTCCGTCAAAGGGTACGCACTCACACATTTAACAACAATAGTCAACAATAGGGGTGTGTATTGGCAACAACCTGGTGGTGTGATATGTATCACCATATAGGCGAGATGATATATCGTGATACTAAAGGCCAGACAACATTCGCAATTTTTAAGAAAACTCAAGTGAGACGCTTCCATGTCAGATCCAGTTTTATAGGGAGCCTAAGTCCCTTCCGGACCATGGGTCTCTGGAAGAACGAAAAATGCACGTCAATGGGGCTAAAAATGCTATTTTCTAATTCCGCTTGTTTTGTGCCATGGATTTCACATATGATGTCCGTGAAATTTCAAGACACATTTTGATACCAAGAACGTGCTTATTTTCTAACCGGGGGTGGGGTGGGGGGGGGGGGGGGGGGGGGGGGGGGGGACACGGTACGTTAGGTTTTGTGTGAAAATAAGTCCAAGACTACAAATGCGCTTCACGAAAGTGACGTCATCGAACCAGACACGGAGAAAACTGAGGGAAAAGGGCTGTAAGTTCAGCAAACTTCCCACAGGAGGAAAGAACCACCACAAATCTGGCCATTTGGTAAGTAGCAGCTACTTTGGGGGAGAGATGATTATGTGGTGACGTCACATATGCGACGTGCCAATTTCTAGTTTGTAGTCATGTTAATTACGAACTTTTACAAGCTGATAAATCTCAAAGTACGGAACTGGAGTGGTCGAAACACCCATCATTACTTTTCATTTAAGTTCCAGTACAACACGTGCGACCCAGGGCTTAAGGCAAAGCGATTAGAAAATAGAGTTTTTAGCCCCGTTGACTTGCATTCATTTTTTCGTTCTCCCAGGGACCCATGATGAGGAAGTGACCCATGATGAGGAAGTGACCCATGATGAGGAAGTGACTATAGGTTCCCTATTGCAAGATCTCGTTGTTCCGTCAGAATGAAGGTGGTAAAAGCTGCTGCCACATAGCAGTCAGAGTTTGAACTACACCACACAAAAGAAATACAGCAAGTGTTTGTATGTAAATTCTCAATAAAAAAGTCAATACTCTTTCAAATATAAAGTCAGTCAGCAATGAACATAAAATGCATGTTCCTGGTCTGTGGGATGAAATCACATTAGTTTTAGTAGAAGTTATTTCAGTGACAGCTGTGGGTTTCTCTTTCTTTAACAGGAATATCAATATCATGGTCAAAACACGTAACCAGCAGGAGTCCATCTTTCCTAGTTCACTCATTAAACATCTTTGTAATCTCTCGAATGTGAGTTTTGACAGGTGGTGCAAAAATTTAACTCCAGCCTTAAAGCTGGTTGGTTCAAAATGAGGCCCTGGGAATGATTCTATGCCTTCTTCCCACTGCACAGAGGATTTTAACATTTTTATTGATGTATTTATTTTTGAGCAGTACCCCAAAAAATTATCACCATAAACATTATTTTTTGCTTCATCTTTTTAATGAGAAAAAAAAACAGCCCCATTGTTAATTTTGCTCTAACCTTGAAAGGTTTGGACGCCTCTGCCGTAAAACGCGAGCCAAAACTTAAAACTAAATTTCTTTTGTTTTCCCGAAGGAGAGTTTGCTTAGTGTCAGAGTGACACCAGCGAACGGTGTTGTTGTGAAGCGTCGGCGTTAATGCTCTCATAAAGGTACTTTTCAGCAGGCTAGACAGAAACTTTATTAACAGCTGGTGCAACTGCTTCTTGTATTTTTCTCTTCAATGTGGTTTATTTTAATACAAAAATAAATATTACTGATTCTTATTTAAGAGACAAAAAGAAGACTCATCCCACTACACAGGTAACAAAAATGATGAGTAAAGCGTGAGAGGAACACTTGCTTAAAACGATCTTAAGCTCTCTTCAGTTATGCTACAAACAGCCGTTAACGAGTAAAACGGTGGCGCTGGGTAGCAAACAAACCCTCATTAGCCTCTTTAAAACGGCACAGCAGTTAAAATAATTGCCCCCATATTGAGATCTGGAGTCTAATGGCGACATACTTAATAAAAGCCTTCATGAGGTGATTGTGACATTTAAAGAATGTTTTATAGTGAAAAAAGCTAAAATGTCAAAAACAAGTAGGGGGTTCATGCTGGCTGGGAAGTAGAGATTAAAGTGAGAAATAAAAGAGGAGAAGCGACCGCACAGCTGTGATCCGGGAGGGAGTAAAAGATGGAAGCTGTTGGGTTTAGGAGAAAAAAAATCTCTAATTTATTAAAACAAAGATTTTTTTTTATTGAAGAAGAAAATATGTGACAGACTTAGGAAGGAAAATAGTTCAATTAAAATCCAAATTTTATTTATTATCTGGTGACATATCTTATTTTCCAGGCTTCTGGTTTGTTCATCCGCTCTTGTCCAGCCCTCAGCACGGACATGAAGACTGGAAAGAAGGAGCAGGACACAGAAACTGTAGCAGGAGAAGCTGCAAGGCACTGGTCCGTGTTGTAATGGGTGAGAGGAGGTGATAAGACGTGGAAACATGGGAATAGAGAGCTCATGAGGGACGAGGAGGGCGAGCGGAAAGGAGGTAGTGAAGTATGTAACGACTCGGAGGATGTTTTCATCGAGTGTGCAATGCTGGAACATGCAGTGAAGTGAAGGGATGGAAGACGGAGGGGGAAGCAGGTCTTCCTGCCCCCGGGGAGTTCAGATTAGCAATTTCATCAAAAGACTTATGTTTCACAGTCGGTCGGCCTCCACCTGGAGGCCCTCAGCCTGAATCAAGCCACTGAAGTTAGGTTGGGGCTTTGCAAACGTAACACAAACCATGAAATAAAACCTCAATAAATGATCAGGTTTGACTAAAAATACTGGGTTATTAATTATTAAGCCATTATACAGTTTAAAACTCTTCAACCTGCTGCAGTTTTTTGTTTCATCCACAGAGAGAAAAACTTTATTTTAACAAGCAACCCGTTTGTCACCTGCAGCATGTTGAGTAGCAGCGATCTGAACTTGGTTCCCTCCACCATGAACATCGCCATCTTGTCACAGAGCTTTGCTGCCGTCGAGGCGAAGCTCCTGTCCGAAACGGCCTTGGAGTAGATGGTGCCGACCACCTGAGTCAGCGCCTCCTCGGACCGCGCCGAGCACTGCGCCTCCTCCATGAACGAGGCCAGCTGCTGCTCCACCCCGCTGCTGTTGCTCCTCATGCTGTTGAGAAGATCCACCAGCCGGTCCATGTTCGGTGGTCCCATCTGTGACTTTTCCACAAGAGTCTCCTCCTGAAGGAGAAGAAAGGTCGAGTTAATAAACGCTGGTTAACTTACTTCACTCTCCTGGACCAGCTGGGTTAGATCCACTATTTCCTCTCAGGATATTTTCTAATTCTCAGCTGCCTTCCTCTTGAGGAAGGAAGCTCAGGGCAGTAACTCATCAGTTCAACACACAGCGGAGAACATCAGAAACTGTTAATCTAATGCTTCTTCTGTCTTCACCTCCTCAGTGAGAACACGTGCTCCCCTCCCGTGTGAACGCTGAACAAACACGCAGACAAATTAATCATGCCGGGCGCTCAGACACAAGTGTGTATGAGCCTCTGTGTGTGAAGTTGCTGCCTGCTTGTGTTTTTAATGTAATAAAGGCAATTATGAAGCCAAATGTTGGCGTGTGTGTGTACAGATCGAGCCACTGCTCTAATACTGACTAACGGGCGCTAAGCAGCTTTTCGGTACCTTGTCTTTTAGCCTCCTCCTCAGCCTCTCCTTTGACGACTGCAGAAGGCTGATTTTTGGCTCCTCCACCTGGCCTTCGCCTGCTTCTCCACTTGGTGGTGGCTTGGGACTTTTCTTATTAATTGTCAGATCTGTGGGGACATCAGTCCTGGGCGTTGGGTCAGTTTTGGGTGATTCATTTGGACACTTACTGCCGGGTTCTTGAGGTGGTCTGATGTGCTCATCGCCCACTCTCACACCCTCAGTCTCCTCGTCTTTGGCTGTTCTTAGAGGTCCTTCTTTATCACCTGTAGGGGGTGTGTGTCCGTGCCCCTGGCCTTTCTGACTGTGGTGCCAGCGCCGGTTCTGGCTGTATCCATGGTGCGGGGGTCCTCCTTGGTTCTGACGTGGTGGTCGACCCGCATTGTGGTTTTTGCTATCTCCCCGTTCTGTTAAGTCGGACTCCTGTTGGTTTGGAGACAGCTGCAGGGTTTGATCCCTCTGCTGCTGTTGCTGTGGTGACTGTTGAACCTGCTGAGGGTGGTTCTTGCCACCTCCTCCTCCTTGAGGTCGCTGCTGTCTCCTGAAATCAAAGCAAGGTTAGTTAGCATCTTCAGCTGTACGCTGTCCTCAACCTGCAACCTTTCTAATGTTGTCCAACTAATATTGCAGCAAGAACCCATTACCTAAAACGAACCTATGAATCTCTCATCTTCAACACATTTATAACCGACTGAACTAGAAACTAAAAGCTTACTCTGCACACATTTGGCTGTCTGTGTGTCGTCTGTAAGCCCAGCCTGCTGCTGACATATGGTTCAACGGATTAGCCACCTTCACACTGAGGAAGCAACCTATCATCTGCCTGAGCTCATGAACTTACATGAACCCAGCTAGCAGCAGCCATCTCACCTTTATTTAATATAAAACTGACTCAGCACATGAGTCAGCACCTCCCATATTCCTGATTTCAACTAAATAAAATGTAGGCTTTTATTCTCTAAAATAATACAACCACTCGGGTGTGTAGGTGCCTAACAACAACAGGTGCAAGGGTGCAGAAGACTTCCTATAATAAATATTAAATCCTGAAAAGGGTGTCAAAGCTGTAGCTCATTCCTCTGTACAGCATATAAAAGCCAAATGAAGCAAATTTGAAAAGCTAAGCTTTATACCCAAAATATTGATTCCTTCATTCAACACTTAGAAACTCCTCCAGGCAGCTGCCTTTTACTAAACTACCTGCTAAAAAACTGAAGAAAATAAAACATTTTAGGTAACTGTAGGGAACATAAAACGTGGGGGTTAAGTTAAGGTTTTGAAAGAAAATGTAAAACATCGTGGGTAAAAAGGAATAGTTTCATGCTTTCATCTCCGAGCACCAACACAGATGAACCCATCTCACACATAACACATCATGAAGCTTTAACCAATGTAAATTTAATCCCCCACATCAGCAGAGATTAAATAATAACATAGAAAAAGGCTGTTTGTACTATAATGTGTTTGAATAAACAAATAACTGTACTTTAATAGTAATCATATAAAACAGTACACAAAACAGTACAAACTCCTCTGAAGCTCCTAAAGTTAGCAGATTTTTTTTACGTTCAGACAAACATTAAAAGTCATTAATGTGAACTGACATTTGACATGTTTAATCACACATAAAATGTTCATTCTTGAAGACGTAGTTCATTTATTACACTCTACTTTAGCTTGAGCATTTCTGTGACTAGCTGTTAGCTTGTCAATCTGGTCAGAGCAGATCTGTTTTGCTTGAAACTGAGGTGGTTCAAAGGGCTATAAGATAACTCTTAAGATATAAGAGATAACCTGTATGTGTGTGTGTGTGTATCTGTGTGTGTGTGTGTGTGGGGGGGGGGGGGGGTGCAATAGCATTAGATCTTGTTCTAAACAAGTGCTCTTTTAGCCACTAATGAACTTTTTTGTAACTTTAGAATCAGATCTGATTCAGACGTTTTTAACCATCCAATCAGATCAGACATGACATGACTCAAGCTGATATCAGTGATTTATGTTGCACGACAGGTTGCAAAACCTTAATAAATCTAATTTTCAACACACAATCTTCTTAATTGGGGCAGCAGTAGCTCAGGTGGTAGAGCGAGTTGCCTCATGATCAGAGGGTCATGGGTTCGATTCCAGCTCCCGCCATGGGTATCCTGCTGTTGTGTCCTTGGGCAAGACACTTCACCCAACTTGCCTGTGTTAGTGGTGGTCAGAGGGGCCGACGGCGCCAAATGGCAGCCTCGCCTCTGTCAGACCTCCCCAGGGCGGATGTGGCTACAAGCAGCTTACCATCACTAGCAGTGTGTGAATGTGAGAGTGTGTGAAAGCGTCTTTGGGTGTCTAGAAAAGCGCTATATAAGTTCAATGCATTATTATTATTATTATTAAACATCTTTTGTACGTTCATTCTGTGTTTCTTTTCCCAACTGCATTACTTGCTTCTTTTTCCAACACAGCAAAAGTTGCTTTACATTGTTTTTTGCGGACGTTTCAGCTAACACTGTAGCCGAAACTCGTTTCTATTGCTCATGTGTTGAGTTGGTGTCCGGTTTCTCCGATGTATGTTTTCTTGCATAGTTTGCATGGTATATGTGTGTATGAAATGCCATAGATCAAAACAAAATAAAATATTAAGTCATGAATTCTTAATGATCTTAAAACAGAAATAGATTAACATCAGAAAAATAAAGTAAAAACATTATTAAATGCCAAAACAAATGAAAGATGTTTACAAATTTGAGTAAAAAATAAGAAAACTAAAGATTTATGTAAAAGCAGCTATGTAAGTGTCCAGACTGTCAATCCTACATAAGGATAAAGGAAGATCATTCCAAAGTCGGGGTGCAACGAGTCAGCTCCTTGGTATGCCACACCTGTGAGGTGGGATGGATTATCTTGGTAAAGGAAAAGTGCTCACTAACACACATGTAGACAGATTTCAGAACAATATTTGAGAGTCATGGGTGTTTTGTGCATGTAGAAAAAGTTTAAGATGTTTGAGTTCAGCTCATGAAAAATGGGAGCAAAAAGAAAAGTGTTGCGTTTATATTTTTGTTCTGTGAATCTGGTCTTTGGAACTTTTAGAAAGTGACGCCGACAACAGCGGCGAGCTCTGAGGAAACGTCAGCAAAAACAAGGTCAAACAGCACTTTTTCTGTAATGGAAAAAGAACCAAGTAATGCAGTTAGAAAAAAAAACACAATCTTCTCATTTTGAACTTTCTGAAGATTTAATAGGAACAAATAAATAACGGATAACCATTAGAAATGTTGTTGAGAAGAATAAATCAAATGCAATGTGTGCCATTTTTGATCAAACGTGAAATGCAGCCAGGCTGACTTGATTCGTCAGGATCGTGCTTGTTGTCACTAACCTGGCTGAGACTTGCCGTTTCTCCCCCGGGCCAGAAGGCAGGAGTATGGTTAACTGGTCTCGCGTGTTGTGATCAAATGCTCTACAAGCAGGAATGCCAACATGCAGGTGGGTGGAAGGATGGAGAGATTGAGGGCAGATGAAATAGTGGAGAAAGGAGTGGAGGGGCCATTTAGTGGGAAAAAAATGGGAATTTTTATAAATGACATAAAAGAGAAAATAAAAGATCAAAGAGAGAAAAAAGCAAAGCACAAAAAAAAAAATAACTACAGGTTCATATCACAAAAAACAGGAAGTCTAAAGAACACTACAATGTCAAAAAAAAAGCTGAAGTTAATGGACAGACTTGATCATGGGAGGGGAGGATAAGAATGATTAATCATGAAATTTTCTGTGTGCGAGTGGAGGGTTCGTGGAACTATTGGTTGACCCAGACAAAGGAATCGATCGACCTGAGGGGAAGAGAAGCCTGCAGGCCAGACAGTCAATACCCTGGCTAAAGCTTTACACAGGCCACAACACACTGACTTAATGCACTGTGGGGAGACGGGTTTCAGCCGCCTGACTGAGCATCTGCATTATTAAATCTTTGGAGTCAAAAATCAAAACTCGGAGCCGCACTAATTTGTGTGTGCATCCAGGCATGTAGAACTAATCGATTCCTCCTAAATATCTTCAAGGAGTTGTTGTCAGAAGTTGTTTGTGGAAAAGCAGGCACTTCAGTCTAGGTGCAGACAGAGTCGGACCTGTTGTCTAGAAAACACAGAGGCCTGTGTGCTCCAGGGCAGCTGTGGGTACAGTGTAGCTCATCACTATCAGTGTGTGACTGCTTGTAGTGTAAAGTGCTCTGGAGTCCGTGCATTATACAGGTGCAGATCATTTACAATCTGAAAAATCGTTTTTAACCTGGGCTCATGCTGCTCGTCAGAGGCAGGGGGGCATGCTGGGTTTCTCGTCTTTGTCTCCATGATGGCTAAAGGTGGGCTACTCTGATGAAATGATCATTTAATAGACTTTATACATGTACAAGAATGAAATTTGGAATTACACAACAAAAAAAATCAAGAAAAACTCACATAAACTTGTGTTTCTAAGCAACCACATACACAAGTCCAACCAAACGGTAGTGTGTGTGTGTGTGTGGTTGTCTATATTTATAAAAAAAAGAGGTGGTCCACAGTGTTTTTGGCTAGTTATAAAGTGAAGGAGTGGAAATAAGACCTGAGCACATCCATTCAGTCCCCATGTGATTTATGACAGAAACAGCCAGGCGCCTGTGAAGCCTCATAAAGACAAAGAATGCATGTGCAAATTTCTGTGCATGAAAGCATTTTTACATCTATGCCAAGTATCGTGCACATATCCCTGTTACTGTCCCTTGATCACAAACATGCAGGCACAAATTTATGAATGATGCTTAAATTCTTCAGCTGTGATGACAACACCAAGTAACATAAAAGACAAAATAAGGCCAAACTCCAAGAAGCGCTTCAATATTTGGAAAAGTGTGAAGGAAGAGCTGACACGCTCCTTCTTTGCCCTTCTTCTGTTCTGAAAGCAGTAACCAGCACATTCCAGTAAATCACAACTAATTTCAGCCCTGCTTGACGTGCCTACTAAAGTAGAAACACATGCACAGCCTCCCCTTCCCTTTTCCATTCTGCGGCGGCCAGCCTACACTTTTCCTTCCCTCAGTCTCACAGTCTCCTTCTGGTCCTTTCTTCTGCTTTGTTCAATACACAACTCTCATGTTTCAAACACCAACTGATCAGTAAGATCCTTTTTCTTTTTCATCTAGTGGGGTTTAATCATCTGATGATAAAACACACAATACAATGGCTTGTGTTTTGAGTATGAACAATAAGTTGAAGTTGCATGTTGGATTGACTATTCCAGTTCATGCATTTGATGCACATAAGACTTTCATGCAGTTATGAAAAGCCTGGCCACTCTGATTGCACAGCATTCCTCACATTTACAAGTGCTAGGGTGCGTGGCTGATAAATATGTCGATACACTGCCAACAGTCCACTTCAATAAACACGATACGTGAGCAGCTAAAACCAACGTGACACTTGCTTCTAGAGTAGATGGCTGTTTGTCCTCCACCAGAGAGAAGCACCTTTTACCAGTGACCTTACACGACATGATGCAATGCTATTCAACAAGTTTGATTCAACACAAAACTACTGGTGCATTTCCATTAGTACCAACTCAGCTGGGCCGAACTTGTCTCGGTAGGATTTCAAACCATTTCCATTGGTATTGGGTCTGTGGTTACCGCCCCTTCATAGTAATTATTTCAAAGTGGTTCCAGGTGTACCGAGCCGGGCCTAATATGCAACGTCAGAGACTTCGGGATGGAGTAGCTGGTTACTTCAGTGTCCCGCCTGCTGCCTGCAGCCTTTTCAAGGTTCAGAGTCTGACAAAATGCAAGTGACTAAGCAGAATGCTTAACATCACAGCCATGTTTGTGTCACATACAGATCGTACAGATAACCCTGCACTCATGGACCACAAAACTGCAGGATCCGACCTACCTAGTCCACGTTAGCTGATGTGGGTAGCAGATATCAGGTCCTTTGCTGATGGGGAAGACCGGAAGTAAACAGCTGTGGCACTGGATGGACTAGCCTTCAGATTTATTCCTGCATTTACCTTGGTGTAAGTCCTGTTTCCCAGCAACCGTGACAATGATAAACAGCTGTTCAAAAGTTTTAACTTAGCAGCAATAAAGGAGCCGCCATACGAGCTACCTCTGTTCTTAGCAAAATGTTATTTTCTACATCTGGAGACATCAAACCTTCCAACAGATCTGTCCTTTAAGCAAATTTATATTTTTAGCCAAAAATAGGGATGATCTGATCCAATCACATGATTGGAAATTGGGCCAGATCATGTGATTTTCAAATGATCAGAAATGGGTGAAAAATATCAGATTTGACCTTAAAACAACAAGCATGACTTTTTAAATTATCCTTGAGGTAGAGATTTTTCAAACAGAATAACAATGTCTTAGTTTAAATTTCAAATATTTCCTCGACATCAATATTCTTTCTTTCTTGAACAAAAACAACACCGTATCATCTTACAATTTACAGCAGGCGGGATTCAGACACCATAACTTGTAGCTGTTAGCTAGTAGGCTAATGCAGAGCTAACATGTCGCCTCAGGAGAGCGAAAATGTCTGGAGATTTGTGGTATTTTAAACCGGACAGCGAAGGCAGTGTTGTAATGTGGGCATACTCATCATTCAACATGGTGGAAAAGACAGATGCATGATACGCAGCCTTAGAAACAAAATAATTGATTTGGTCTTTTGGTTTTTCCCTTCAGGATTGCCAAAGCGAATCACTTATCTCCATCAAGTTCCAGTTTGCCACTTAACAGTCCTGGATCACTGCGGCAACTCAGACAAAAACATGGAGCCAGCCAATCTTGAAAGATACACTAATATGTGGGGCAGCAGTAGCTCAGGTGGTAGAGTGGGTTGCCTCATGATCGGAGGGTCATGGGTTCGATTCCAGCTTCCGCCACGGGTATCCTGCTGTTGTGTCCTTGGGCAAGACACCTCACCCAACTTGCCTGTGTTAGTGGTGGTCAGAGGGGCCGACGGTGCCAAATGGCAGCCTCGCCTCTGTCAGACTTCCCCAGGGCGGCTGTGGCTACAAGTAGCTTACCATCACTAGCAGTGTGTGAATGTGAGAGTGTGTGGAAAGCATCTTTGGGTGTCTAGAAAAGCGCTATATAAGTTCAATGCATTATTATTATTAATAAACAAAGAGAAATTTTTGACTGAGTGCAAAACATTAGGGTTTCTCAAGCCCTTTTTAGAAGACACACGATGCCGGCAAATCCGTGTAATACTGCTTCTACAGCGTGTCTTATGAAAGTGCTGTGGCGGCATGGCGTTGCGGGAATTATGAAAACTCAAATTCAAAATCTCATACTATTAAAATATTACATGAAATCAATAAAACAAGAATTTTTAAATGGAGAAATGTCAGACCTCTGGAAACAATCATGCATATGTACTCAGCACTTGGTTTGGGCCCCTTTAGCTTTTACTCATATATTTGCACAATATCTCACCTGTATATAAAAATGTAACTTGAAGTTGAATAGATCTTTGTTTTATTTGTGCAAAGATGCGATGAGGGAGGAACGTTTTTAATAAATGACCTGATTTTAGATTGTAATCTTCACTGTCTGCTTTTAACAGAAACATGGCTGAGTTCAGATGCACCTGTTGTTCTCACAGAGGCCTCTCCGTCAGATTTTAATTTTAATTTTTCAACGAGGAGTAGCAAAAGGGGAGGCGGTACTGCTTTTATTAGTTCATCAATACTTTCTGCCAAACCAGTTTTATTTGATCATTTTACCACTTTTGAATATACAGTGGCAGTTTTTAGCTCTCCTCAGATTTTATGTGTCGCAGTTTATCGGCCTCCTAAGCAGAGTGCCATTTTTATTCAAGAATTTTCAAAGTTTTTATCAATCCTTCACAACTCCTTTGAAAGGATCATTTTAGCCGGTGATTTTAATTTACATATAGATAATCCATCTGATCCTTTTTCAAAGGAGTTTTAAATATTCTGAGTTATATGGATTTTAGTCAACATGTCACACAGCCAACTCACAACAGAGGACACACCCTGGACTTGGTCATCACGTATGGCCTGTCCACCAGTGTGTCCTCTGTTATTGATTTGGCTGTATCTGATCACTACTGTGTATTTTTTAGCATCACCAGTTTTATCCAGCTGGAACCCTCTGTGAGAACTGTAAGGAAGCGTCATCTCACCCCTGAAGTGGCTGCAGGTTTTCTTGAAGTTTTTAGAAAGATCCCTCCCACTCCGGTAACTGCCTCTTGTGATTTTACTGTCAATGATTTTAACAATAGACTGAAATCCGCTCTCGACCTGGTCGCTCCACTTAAAATAAAAAGTTTTTATTCAAAACGTGCTTCACCGTGGAGAAATGAAAATCTAAAGAAACTAAAGAGAAATTGCAGGGTTGCAGAGCGGAGATGGAGAAAGAACAAAACAACTATAAATCATCAAATATATACAGAGCTTCTCAAATCATATAATAACGCAGTGAGAAATTCAAGACATTCATACCTTTCCAAACTCATTCTAGACAATAAACACAATCCCAGAATACTTTTTTCCACCATAAACAACATTTTAAACCGTACCTCCAATTCACTTCAGAAAACACCCTCAAATGCACTCTGTGAGGAGTTTGCAGCCCACTTCAAAGGGAAGGTAGACACCATCAGACGGAATATTTTATCCTCCATAAGTAATAAGGTTTTAGATAAATCTGAATGTGTGTCTATACCAGAGGAAACACTGGACAGCTTTGTCCTGGTAGAAGCTGAGACTCTTAACAAAGTTTTCTCCTCAGCGAGACCCACCACATGTGTTCTGGACCCAATTCCAACTTCGTTCTTTAAACAATTTTATGGATCTTTTAGTGATGAGATTTTAACCACGATGAATTGCTCACTTCAGACGGGGGTCTTTCCTGCTGCCTTTAAAAGGGCGGTGGTGAGGTCCCTGTTGAAGAAGAGCAATTTAGATTTTAATGAATTAAACAATTATTGACCGCTATCCAACTTACCATTTTTAAGCAAAATTTTAGAAAAGTTGGTTTTAAATCAACTAAATGATTTTATAAATACTAATAATGTCCTAGAGAAATTTCAGTCTGGTTTTAGGGTGAACCACAGCACCGAGACAGCCCTTCTGAAGATTTTAAATGATTTTAGAGTAAATTATGATAAACAGAAGTTGACAGTGTTGGTTCTACTGGATCTAAGTGCTGCCTTCGATACAGTAGACCACACTATTCTTTTAACTCGTTTACAACAGATCGGCCTCTCTGGTGCTGTACATAGATGGTTCACATCCTACCTCACAGACAGGACTTTCATGGTGAGATTGGATACCTGTTCCTCTAGAGTCCATGGGATTACATGTGGTGTGCCCCAGGGTTCAATTTTAGGCCCAGTGCTTTTTAATCTTTATATGCTCCCTCTTGGCGGAGTCATCAGGAGACACGGGGTTAACTTTCACAGTTATGCTGATGATACACAGTTGTACATCTCCGTGTCTCCGGATGACTCTCGGTCAATGGATGCACTTTTTAACTGCATTTTAGACATCGAATCCTGGATGGCAGAGAACTTTCTCCAGCTCAACCAGGACAAAACTGAAGTTTTAGTCATTGGTCCTGAGGCCCAGAGAGAGAAGCTTTTACCGAAATTACAATCTCTGTCTTTTAATCCATCTGAACAAGTGAAGAACCTGGGTGTGATTTTTGACTCTGAGCTGACTTTTATTCCACACATTAAAAATATCACAAAAATTGGTTTTTATCATCTAAAGAACATCGCCAGAGTCCGCCCCATTCTCTCTCGGGCCAATACGGAGATGCTGATGCATGCTTTTATCACCAGTAGAATAGACTACTGCAATGCCCTGCTTTCTGGTCTTCCCAAAAAGAGCATCTCAGGCTTACAACTCCTACAAAATTCGGCAGCACGTGTCCTGATGAAGACCAGGAGGCGGGAGCACATGACACCGGTTTTAGAATCATTGCATTGGCTCCCCGTATGTTTCAGGATCAATTTTAAGGTTCTTCTAATGGTTTTTAAGTGTCTTAACGGTCTTGGGCCTTCTTATCTATCAGAACTGCTTTTACAATATGAACCCTCGCGGCCTCTGCGCTCCTCTGGCAGGCGTCTCCTGGTCATCCCTAAAGTCAGGACACAAACTCACGGCGAGGCGTCCTTCCAGTGTTATGGCCCTCGCCTCTGGAACGAGCTGCCAGAGGACCTCAGGGCCGCAGAGAACGTTCATGTTTTTAAGTCAAGACTCAAGACCCATCTTTTTAGGTTAGCTTTTATCTAAATATTTTCTACAGTTTTATTTCTCGTTTTACATGATTATATTTTATTACTTGTTTTGCATGTTCTATATAATTATATTTTAGCACAGTTTTATTATTAAATTATTATTTTACTGTCTATATCATTTTATTTATTACTTATTTTCTAATTTTTGTCATTTATATTAGCTCTTTTATTACATTTTTACTCATTTTAATCCAGTGTTTCCTCTGTGGGGGCCCTCTGCCCCGGGAGCGGTGGTCGACTGTAGCTTCCTGGGCGCTCTATAGGTGGGGGTCTATGCTCCCCCTCCACTGAGCGCCCTGACTTAGTGTGGAAGACCTGATGCTGCCGGGGCAGACGGCTCCTCTGATGGCGTTTCCTTGCGTTACCATACTTGGCACATCTGGACTCAGCCTAATATAATTTTTACTTGTGTGTGTGTGTGTGTGTGTGAGTCTGTGTGTGCGTGTGCTTGCATATGCTTGTAAATGTTTTTAACCTGTTATGGGAATCTGGGGTCATTTTGTAAAGCACTTTGAATCACACTTTGTTTGAAAAGCGCTTTAGAAATAAAATTTGATTGATTGATTAATTGAGGAAAGGTAGCAAAATTTAGTTCCAAACAGCATTGTGAACCATAGAAAGTTACAGTTATTCTACAAACCTCTACCAGGTAATAAGCTGGTCTTCTTGTATAGATTTTTATTCCCAGCCCCAGTTATGTCATCTTTCTTCATCTTATGCCTCATCCTGCCTTAGATAAATTTTTCTACTTTACCTTACATTTTTGTAAAACAAGTCATTTGATCTCTCGACTTTTATGTTCTTCAAATGATAATTAGGAAACTAGTTTGAGAGACTGTTGTAGGAAAAGTCACGCATCAGCGGAGGGAAAAACAAAATTTAAGTCAGATCGTCATGCTACTGGACCAACAGAGCTCACATTCAAATAATCTTAAAATGCTGTTGTAGACGCCTTTTGCTGGAGCGGCTGTGGGCAGAGATTTGCTGAAATAAACCGTTTCATTTCAGGATATATTCAGGCTTTGTCATGTAGCAAATTATATTTATCTTGCCTAATTGGAACATAGAACATAACATTAACAATTGTAAACTAGTAACAGCCGCGATTCATGTGGGCCAGGTTAGTTTGCGATAAAGTTAAAGAAAAACAGAAGAACTCAGTGGGCTAGGCTGAGTTTGTGTGAATGGGCGGGGCCGACTCTGGTGAAGCTCCACCTTTGTGGTGCAGCTTCGCACCAGAACCAATTCGATTTTATACAATAAAACAGAGCAGGCACACACACACACACACACACACACACACACACAAGCACACACACACACTTGTACTTTAAGTGAAAACGGTATACAATAAAAGCAGCAGCAAGAGAAAACAGGATGGCCTCTTGGTAACACTGAAAAGTTTCTAAAACAAATCAACTGAAACTTAAGCAAACTGCTGCTGGTCCAAGTTGATATTTCTTGTTTTTCTCTTTTGTTAGGCTTGGGCTTTGCCTATTGTACAAAAACATATCAGCTGCAGAGAGACATTATTATTCTCTGTACTTAAAAACAGGAATGAAATTGCTTTTGTCCATTTGGTTTAGATACAATTTCCTTTTTTTTTCTCAAAGAAAAACCACAAATACAACCAAAATATTTTCTCTTTGCTTGTCTCTTAGCAACTGAAAAACAGTTTTCCAGTGACATCAGAGCAGGGAGCGAGAGATTTATTTCTCTCTCTCTCTTTAAAGCATAGTTTCACTGAAGTCAGACTCTTGTGGAATGAGATTTTACAGAATACACAATCAGAGCGGACGTGTGCAGTGGAAATGTAATTTAGACTCCTGGATCAGGATGCATGTAGCAAAGCAGAACAAATAAAAGGATCAGAAAATAAGCTGAACGTGTAGTCTAACACAACTGACTGGAAAAATTGGTTTCTTTTTATCTGTTGTGATTTGTGGAGCCAGCATTACTGTCTCCAACTTGCTTTGGCCGCAAAGAAATGTCCAGGTTCTGGTTCTGGCAGTGCAATTACAACAATAACAACAACAACAAAAAAGACAGACTATCTGAGGCAGACCTCAGAATTGTAGGACATGCATGTAAGACTGGAATGTATTTTTACCGTCGGTCATTCCTCCTGCGTCTGAAGAGCTTTTTGGTGTGTGCAATCTCAGACTCATTAGCAAGTGGTGGGAAGACCTGAAAGATAAATCATAGTATAAAAGTAAGCTGCTGTCAATCAAAACAGCCATTATTTATCACTCTGTAGCAACGTTTGAACATTTAAACTGGTGTTTATACCCCAAACTTAAAGTAGACTTTAAGGCATTGTTTATAGTGGAATGTATAAACACACTTCCAAGTCTAAAATGCATAATTTCCAACTATAGCTGTAATCATTCCCATGGTAACAGCTGACCCACACACTGACAAAGAAAACAGAGATTCAAAAAAGGCCTTCTCTTCAGGAATGAGGCAAAGATGGACCAGTCGATCTACACCGTCATCATGATCATCACAAATTGTCATTACAAGGGCAGTAGCCTCTAAATCCTGACGACTGCTCAAACGTCAGATTTGTGCCAGAAAATGTACAAATTTCACTCACTATGATAGAAACTAGGGATGTGAATCTTAGAGCAACTCATGATTTGAATCGATTCTCGATTCTCAATTTAAATCGATTCACAATCAGTATTAACAAAGAGTGTCAGCTCCAGGATAAACTACTTTGTTGTGCAAGTTAGTTAAAGCTATGGGAAACTTTTATTTGACTTTAAACCGGTCTCCAAAAATGCAAATTTACTATGTAAAATAAAGTGATTCTAAAACTGTAAACAGAAGCAATCTTTTGACGAAAAGACAACATTTATTTTTGCTTACCTTGTAAAATTAGTTACCTAACAGTAGCTTTGAAAATAATACAGTCAAATACTTTTCAAGTATGTGTAGAAACAAGTTACATGAGTAATCCTGAGTACTCATTTATCAACTTAGAAAATAAATATGAGAATATCTCAAATTTCTGAGTATGGAAAAAATTACATTCAAGTGCCCTCTTATCAGCAGATTCAAACAGAAATCATTTCAATTTATGGGACCACAAAAGTAAACGGAGTACTGACTCTCTTAACAAAGATCAAAAAAGTGCATCTCAAACCTGTAACATGCGAAATATTTGAGTTATTGGAATCGATCGATTCTGAACCTCTGTGAATCGATTCTGAATCTTTACAAATTAATTAATTGCCCCATGGGGACCAATAAAGTTTTCTGATTCTGATTCAAATAAGAATCCCGATTCAGACTTGAATCGATTTTTTTCAGCACCTCTAATAGAAAACCGTAGAATAAGGTTAAAGTTCAATCTGCTATTAAAAAAAAAGCTTGATGTGTCAGAGCTGCAATTGTACATTTGGAAAACAAGCTAGCTGTCTGATAGTCTGATATTTTCATGCTAATCCTATTCATGATGGATAGGAATACATCCATCAATATATCCATCTGCTGTGGTGGCCCCTGAAGGGAATGTAAAAAATAAGCTTCATATTCATGATGGACATAAATAACCTTTGGAGCAGAAACAGGCCATGTTAAACCAAAGGAACAAAGAATAAATAAATAAATAAATAATATAATACGCATTTAGTATTTTCTTTTTCTTACCACATTAGTTAGTTTTGCTGGCAGGTAGCAGGAAAGCTTGTATTTATGACAGAAAACTGCTGGCCTACTGGACATTACTCCTCACTCATACAGTTCACCTCTTCTAAAAAGGAAATAAGAAATCTGCCATCCATAAAACATCAGCCCTGTCAGTCAAACAGCACACTTTCCCTTCGCTCATCACCGCTGTGTGCTGTTGCCAAGGTTACGGGCAACCCAGGACGAGTGCTGTTGAGTAAATATGCAGTGTGCAAAGACGAACATGTTGTGAAAAGGATGAGTGCATAAATGAGCCCGACCATGAACAGCTGTGCATACAACATAGTGTCCAAGACATGACATGCAAGTGAGTACGCACAGCCTGCCCCGGTAAAGTCAGCTGAAGATGTAAAGAAACAAAGTTACATCACCTACTTTATTTTTAGTAGTGCTTTACATCACATTTCACTCACTTTGTCACAGACACACACCGTCTTTCTGCTGCTTTGTAAGAACAATATGGATCAAAACAATTTAGTAATTTATTGTGTGTCTCTTGTCCCTCAGTCTGTTTACTCTTGTTTCCAAATCAAACAAGGCCTTTTGACTAATAAATGAAAAAAATTAACTATGCAACAGTAGGAGTATCACACACAGATCCATCATTTAAACTTGTGTGTGTGTGTGTGTGTGTGTGTGTGTGTGTGTGTGTGTGTGTGTGTGTGTGTGTGTGTGTGTGTGTGTGTGTGTGAATTAAAGACTGCAACTCTGCTTCAGTCAAGGTATTTTTGTAGACACTGCTCGCTCTATGATAGACATCTGCACGTAAACAGATGTCTAACGCTATTGGCCAATGCTGGGCGGTGCACATTCTGTAATTGCATGGGGCTCTTTATATGTCGATAATGGGGCTGAGTTATAAAAAATATTGATGTATAGCCTAAATTATATCACAGTGCAATAAGACTTTTATGCATTTCTACAAAAATTCTACATAATTCCTGAACGGGGAAAACTCCTGGGTTTAACTTCTTGTACAGCTTTCTTCTTTTTGAATAAAAGATAAACGAGGATTTCAGGCACTTTGTACAGTTTCCAGTTAGAAATTTTTGTAGGACGTGTCTTTCAAAAAGGCCGATGAAAGAACAGAAGCTGTACTAAAAGATATTAAGATCTGCCATGTCTTCATACATTAACACCTTCAATATGCATTTAAAAACTCTTTGAGCAGAATTAAAATATACAGACTAATGTGTATTTTTAATATATTTGACATTATAACCTAAATCTCTCAAAGAGAATGGTTGGAATATAAACTCCAAGTCTACAGTGTGTTTATGGAGGACATCATTAGATGTAAATCTGACTTCAGATGGTAACCAGATCACTCACTCACACAATCAGACGTTTTCCTTTGTCTTATTGACATTGCACTGCATGACTCAAGATTTTCAGGAAAAATAAAAAGTTTGTGTAGTGTTAGTTGTTCGTGTACTCAGTTCATGGTGCTTATGAGAGGACCAGAATGTGAGAATAAGCTTTCTGCAGGTAGCAGTGAATGCTGGGTAAATCAAAGAGAGCCATGAGCATTCCTGGTCCCCAGCCAGATGACCTCTCAACTCAAGGCAGGCAGTGGGACAACTGTGGACGTGACAAAGATAGTGACGGCTGGGGGGTGGGGGGTGTTTGTAGTAGGTGGTTTGGCTATGTGGGTGGGAAGAGAACAGAAAACTGACAAAGACACAGAAAATCTGTGCTGTGACTTCACATTTGTGTATTTGTGGGACAAATGCAGACAGTATGAGACAGAGATTAGTGTTTTCTTTACAGGTTCATTCAGGGTAAGTCAATACGGTCTTGGAAATTTAACAGAAAACAAGGAAACACACCTCTAACTCATTAGTGTTCAGACTTAATAAGCGACATTAGGATTGAATTAAGCTATGTCAAAAATCTGAAAAACAGGTTTCAGTCAAGCAGCACAACACAGTTTTGTTAGGGAAAACTAGAAAGAAGACCTATCATGTTCACCAGATATCATGTATTTGCAATTTCTGTGTGATATCAATTGAAAATGTGTATTTTCTCACAGTTTCCTGAACATGTTGCCTAGTGAGATGCTGGCTTTAAAGGGCCTATATCATGCTATTTTACACTTTCCAGAGCAACAGTAGGCACAATATATGATATATTACCATGGGCACTGTTGAATTATTTTTAATTTTAGTTTTGTTAGACATTACTTCTACTTAGAAATAATGTTGGATTTGATTAGATTACGCTTAAATGTATTATTTTTCCCAACCAACTCACTTTTGTGAGCCAGACACAATGATCCATCAGTCACAAACATGTCTTAATGAGTTTGTGGAAGCAGACTGAATTTGGTCCTCATGTGGAAGATGACTGATGATTGAATTTCATTGGCTATTTGATGTGACAATCAACAGCATCCTGCAATTGGTTTGAGCTACACAAGTGTCACTTTTACCTGTCGGCTACTAAAGATTTTGCCTCAGCAGAGGGGGCAACACTTCACCTATTGGATCAGGTATCAATCAAAAGTTTGAGGCTAATATGGGGATGCTACAGGTTGTTAACGTGAAAAAGAACTTTTTTTTTTTTTTTTTACATTTTTAGAGTCATATTATATTGGATTATGGACAAAATTTTATTGGAGTAAATTATTTGGACCTTTGTGGATTAAAAAAAGACCATCTTTGTTGTTCGACCATACGCGGTTTTGCAAAAGCATTTGCTAAATCTCAGTTATGGTTGTATTCTTGATTGGCATACAGCATTAGAATCACAAGAATCCTAGCCTTCCTATGATGTTTAACATGTATATGTACATAGAGTTTTGCAAATAAGACACTGATTTGACCAGTAACCTGTTTGACTAATTCTAACATTTTTTCTCTAAAAAAAAAAAAAAAAAAAAAACAATTGGCAAAAGGCTTGGTCTATCGTCAGTGGTCAATTCGTTTGACCAGTTGCCCAACCTTAATGTGACTCTGATGTTATTGTTGAATATTGTAATGGACTGACATTTTTCCATCTATTTTCTTTCTCTTCTATTATCTCAAAGGTCACAACCCATTCTGTCAGGATCATTTAAATTAGCTGTGAAAAATTAGGACAACAACACTACATCTGATTGGTCAAACATGTTGTTAGGCTACAATTCAGGGGTTTTAATATAATGTGCCATCATAAGAAAAATGTTGACAAACTCTGTAGCATCGATCACTGTTAGGGGAATAGGGTTGTCACTGTGTGAAAATTTAACCTCACGGTTATTGTGACCAAAATTAACACGGTTTTCGGTATTATCGCAGTATTTTTTTTAAACGTGTTACATTTTTAGACAACTAAATAAACCCTGTATATCAGGAAAATATTGTCCTTAGTTTGTGTCTAAATTTTGCCTAAAATTTGTTATTTTGTAATTATGTTGTTTATTTGTTCACATTTTCCCCTTTAGTCTTTAAAATAGCAATATTTGCCCATAACTTATTTTTTGTCTGTTTGATGTCATCATTTTAAAAATATTA